TTACTTAAAAAATTCATAATAATTCTTATTATAAGAAAATATTATTTTTTATTTAATATATAATATAAGATAAAGATAATAAATGAATAAAACAATATATGTTGATGTATAATACAAAGAAATTTTTGCAAAACATGTACTTAACACATACAAACTATATTTGATTTTAATTAAACGTACACAGAAAATTTATTTAGTATGACGCAGTATTGTTTGAAATAACAAAAAAAGTAAAGAAAACAATTTTTATCAGAATACTTTCATCGTGAAACTTGTAACTTCACATTTAAAGAACAAGAATTCCTTGAAAAAATTGCCTTACATACTTGTGCATTAACAATTGTTCAGAAATATTAAGAAATCTGCAACTGTTCAAAAATATAACGCATCATCAAATTTTACACAATCTTATATTCATGTTTTTCAATCTGCGTGATATTGGTACCATACTTCACAGGTGCATGTATATGTAGATCTATAAACCTATGAAAGCAGAAAACAATCTATGTCTAAATAATTCTTCATATAAAATAAATTCACTATTAACTACCTTTATGAGTTGTTAATACGTTCGTAAAACAGAAGATATGGTTTAGCACATAAAACTTCGATCAAAGATATGTTCTCAACTACATTATCAGAAGTGTATAGCCATTGATTTTGTTTATTTCCTTGTCTGTAGCAAACGAAATGCCCCGAATCCACAGATCCACGATGTTCTACTACTGCGCGTAATTGATACTTATACTTATTTAAATGTGTTGTTCGATTAGCAAGTAACATTGTTGCTTCAGGGTCGCCCTGCAAATAATTTTTGAAAAAGTTAAAACATGCACAACTCTAACCAGTACTGTTCTATGTAAAGATGTATTTAATACAATGAGATATACCCGTGCATTTCTCTTTTTTGTTTCTGTGAATGTATATGGATCCAAAGTCAGAATTTGAGGAAATTTCACTGGATCATCCCTTTTAATTGGCGTTCCTGAAGGACTCCATGTAGTTCGCGATATATGTAAACACAAACATTTAGGAAGTTTACCTAGAGTTAAAGTTTTAGTAGCTAAACAACGCATTCCACATCCATCACACAATACGTCATGAACAATCTCGCTAGTTACAAAACGTGTTAATAATTCTTCCAACGTATGGTGTGTTCTAATATGTATTCCCATTGGAGGTAAAGGTAGAGAAACTGTTTCAAGCTTGTCGTAACGAACAGGAGACTGGAAAAAGCAACTCACATAATGAACCGCCATATGTGATTAAAGAACTACAGTACCAACCTTCCAATTGCAGTTACTACATTGTAATTGACTAGTTAATAACCCTGAAAATGGGTGTCCTTCTATGGACATTGGTTGAAAATTAGGAACAGGCATGGCACATAAAGAACTCCATGTTCTAAATGATTCTTTATTTTCTTCACTTTCAATATTCTTAGAAAGTAGTTCTGAAGATCTTGCAAGGATCATGCCAGGCTTATTATAAGCCACAGGTATATTTGATATTGATGATGTAGAAGATATAACATGGCTGTTACAATTTCTATCAAATCCATTTGGCATATTTGAATTTTTGTTAGCTGATACAATATCATTACAAGATACACTTCTGAGGTTTATGCATTCTCCAAATTTTTTTGTATCTATCGCAACTGTAGGGCTTTGTAGTAAAGCATCAGACAAGCAGCCCTTCTGAAATAATTATCATCAATGATTTCTATTGGTTCATAATAATCTAGTCTATAACCTTAATTTATTAAAGTTGGTTTATTAAGCATTTATTACCCTATTTATAGGTTGAATTTCTGCTTGTATTGCATTAAGTACAACATGAAACAGTTCATGTGCATCTTGATAACCTGGCGCAAAGCTCCACAGATTACCAAGGGATGAAATTATTTCAATTGGTGTTACATCACCATAAAGATCCTCTGCGTATCCATTGATTTCTAACAAAAGAGAATTTTCATATTCATTTAAGTATTATAAAAAAATCATATGTATCAATCATGTTTGACATGATAGTTTGGCATGAATCGATGAAATGATGATAAGTTTAGTAAAGAAAATTACATACTCTTAAAGACAGAAAGCAAAGTTGAAATAAAATTAACTTTGCCATTTTTCTCACACCGTTGTTTCAGCCATCCAATAAAAATTGGACATGCTGCTAGAGCTTGTAAAAGAGAATTCAAGAAACAAGTATATCCTAGATTGTTAATTCCAATAATTTTTCCTGTGAAAATAATTAGAACGTTATAAAATATCTCTCCTCTAAGGACATAAATATAATGCAAATTGTGCAAACTGGAGATTAATCATAATATGTATACCTTTTTTTCTAGGTCTCGGAGATGGTCCCCATAAAACAAATGCAGCAACGGCTATTGCAAATCCTACACTAGCAAATACAGCAATTTTTTCTACATCCATCTTCTCTGAATGTTTGTAGAACTATTTTTCTCATACAAGCTAACCTACAGGTCAATACAGTTCGTGAATACAATTGTCTCGGATGCGTACATATTCTTTCGCTGACATTTACACGCTTCGTAGTGCACAGATTTAGATTATTACGATAAGTTCTAAGTTAGTAACTCAACAACAAAATTCTGATACATAATTTAGCCATATACATACTTCACTACTTCAATAAAGAACATAATAAGATTAAAGTATTTATTATTTGGACAACATGTTATATATTCTCAATAATCCAATAAAGAAATAAATATATATATTGTAGTTAAAAAGTACTTTAATTACGCAAACAATCACGATGCATCTGTACGTGCAAATTCTTACGTTCGAACACACGTTTGGTGTCGTAAATACATGTAGTACATATATAAATCCTCATATAGGTTATACCGACATTCATACCACAAAAGAGTTACACTCTAAATACAGAATTACGTTCATAGTTTGAGATATTTTATAAATATAATAATAAATTAAATGCATATTATAGAAAAACTAATTGTATGTATTACATATTTTTTAAAAATTTCTATCGAAAATAGAATCATTGAATGTTGTGCACAATGATTCGCGCTAAAAAAATAATGTACTATTTACAAAAGATATAAATACGTGATAATATTAATACGTGGTACTATTAAAAAAATTTCACTTTTTGTTGCAATAAAGCTTAATTCAAAACTATAATTGAAAACTTCAAAATTCGATTATCGACGTTTCGATTAGTCGACGTTAGAATCGGGTAAAACTTCACATCTATTCATTCTCGCAACTCGCAAACAACACGATTTAGAGTGACGTTGCCATTGACATGATTTTTCAGTTGATTCTATCTCAAGTTTATTTCTATACAACACATCAGTTTTATATTATTTATTAAATGAAAATAGAATGATTGGACATCAGAGTTCATTTCACTAATATTTCTGTAAATGCAGTGATACGTGCAAGAAGGAAAATTGAGGTGGCCGTGGGACTCGAAAATGTTCCCACGTTCCCGCTTCGCAAGTGTGTGTTGCACGTGCGTGTGAAATTCCTAACAATAAGCGAGAAAATGAACGCCCAAGGACAGGAACATGGTCATGCTGTGGTTGTGTGGGAGTGGGAAAATCGTCACGGACGTTGGAGACCCTACAGTCCCGCAGTATCCCAACACCTAGAAAGAGCATATTGCAAAAAGCTTACACGGGTCTTTCTTAATGATGCAGACCCTAATTTGGATAGGTTTGACATGAAATATTGTTTGTTTTAATATTTACAATGCCCCAAACATTTTGAAAATGTATTTTATATGCATTACAGGAGAAAAATAAATAAATACGAAACTCGAATGATTATTGATGTCCAAACATTTTTATAGTGTATTATATTATACATACAAAATAATTGCATACTCTTATGTACATACATGCTTCTTACAATACCCTCGATTTTTGGTATTTTTCTAGATAAGTTCGTATTTTCATGAAAAAAAGAAAAAAAACATTTTTACTTAGATCATCAGAAATGTATATTTTCAAATATGTAGAAAATATCCCCCTTGGAACATTATGAGCCGTGTTCAACTTCTTCAGCTACCTTTAGTTTACAATAATGTCATACAAAAAGAAATAATATTGTTTTGAAGGAAATATTTTTAATATTGCAGAATAACATTTTTTCAATAGTCAAATTTTTTACCTAAGTTCGATAAACAGTCAATTTCATAGATACATTATCCAAATAACCTTATCCATTTTTATTCTTAAAAATGTTAATCTTAAAATTATCTGTATTTACACCTATATATACCCTCTAAATAGTTGAAATTTTGTTTATATCTTAAATTAATAACTTTAATTTTAAGGTATTATTAGCAATATTTCAACTATATGTAGAGCACTATAAAATATTTAGAAATTAATGTCGATTTTTAATGATTTATAATTTGATCAAAGTTATACAAGATAAAAACTTCAATCATTAATATTAGTTATAAAGATCTATACATGGAAAAATATTGACTTATAAAACTTATTTTTAAAATAGGTATTATATAAATTTAAAGACTAAAATGCAGTGTAGCGAAGATGGAAATGAAACACACAATGTTAGAAGAAAGTTTTATCTCCCAAATTCACCGGCTGGAAAAGGAGCAAAATGGGAGTGGGCTGGTGATACGGATGATTGGCATACATATGATATGGAAGTACAATGTCTTGTAGAAGAAGCATGGGCAAGGGTGAATATAAAACTAGCTTCTAGAGTAGGCACGTCCAACTGGATCCTATATGAGTAAGAGTACTTTTTATAGCTCATGAGCAGAGCCGAGTATATGTATATTGTTTACTTATTGTATCTTAAATCAATTGTTGTGTTCAATGTATTTTACTGTTTGTTATATTTATACCATTAACTTCATTCCTAGAATTAAAAAATTGTGCTTCATTACATGTTATGTTTTTAATTACATCGTATATGTAATTCTTGCTGCTAACAGTAAAAGACGTATGATCCTTAGATTCACAGATTACTCTGCCATGAGACTGTTAGCCTTGGAGGTGTGGTTTGTTTGTCTTGGCTGTTTTTTACATACTTACTCGTCAAAAACTGCTGACATACCTGTTCTAGAGTTATATATAAATTATGCAACATAAAATAATTTGATGTATAAATACTATTATATTTTTTCTTATAGGGTGACAAAACTATTGACATTTCTAAGACCTACTTAGGTTTTCCATACATTATAAACTTTTGCAATTTAACTCAAGTACGTTGTTGTACTGGATATGTCAGACCAATCCGACGCATCCAGCAAGCCCCTTACCCTTTAGTTAAAGTTGCTTTGGAAGAGCTGCAGGTTATTTCAGAAAAAAAATCTGTGTGTGTTACTATAAAGAGTACTACTACAAAAGTAGCACACAAAAAATCATCTACGGGAAACACAAAAAAGAGTAATAAGAAGGTAAATAACATATATTTATTATATGGTGATAAATACACTTTTCTAAATTTAATTACATTTCAATAGGGTAAAAATGGTGATACTGGCCCATCAAATATAGCACGTGTTATACTGAGCAATTTTAACATATTTAGTAACAGACATGGTATAGAAAACAATAGTTCAGTTACAACCATCGAATCTGGTCAAAAAAGGAAAACATGGGATAATGTACTTGATGTAGATTCTAGCAGCACAAAGAGCGGCCGAAGACCTAGCGTTGACACAGTCTCCACTTATTTGAGTCATGAAAACCCGGTAGACTTATTAGATAGCAGTGTAGGAAGTGATGATGCATTTAAGGATTCTATTCTAGGTAATTCACTGATCATTTTTGTATTAATTTTAATATTATATATATTACACCAATTATTTTACATACATATAGATACAGAATCGGATGTTATTTCTCAATATGTAAAAGTAGTAGAAAGCAACGACTCCGATTCTTGTCCAGTATGTCTTGGTATTCCTGAGCCATTAACTGTAGAGTTAACACGTTGTAAACATAGATTACATTTAGCATGCTTAAATGCAATGCTCAGTTGTCAGCAACAACCTATGTACATACAATGTCCGGTCTGCCGATTAATTTATGGAGAAAAAAGGGGGAACCAACCTCCTGGTACTATGAACTGGACAAGAATACCACGTGCATTACCTGGTTTCCCAAATATAAATACAATTCAAATTACTTATGAGTAAGTGTACACTATTTTTTAAATTTGTATAGTGTAATGGTAAATTTTTACTTTAGAATTTTGAAGTTTTAGATCCTCCTTTTATTACTCTATATTATACAGAAAAAATATAATTTCAGCATTCCGTCAGGAATCCAGGGAAGAGAGCATCCCAATCCTGGACAGGCATACTATGCTGTAGGTTTTCCTCGAGTATGTTATCTTCCAGATAATAATCTAGGTCGAAGGGTTCTAAGACTACTACAAATAGCTTTCGAGCGAAAACTAATATTCACAATTGGACGATCAGTGACCACTGGACGAGAAGATGTAGTTACATGGAATGAAATCCATCACAAGACTGAACTGGGACCATCAACTTCTGGCCATGGCTACCCTGACACAAGTTACCTTGAAAGAACATTGGCCGAATTGGCAGCACAAGGAGTAACAGACGGGCAACCAATGGCTACTCTGTATCAAGAGTTGCATTAAACAACAATGTGTTTATTTAGTGGTTTCATTTGTGCGCATGCAACAATATCAGGTGTACATAGATATCTACTGCAATTTTTTAGTAGTTAATAATAATAAAATAATGCAATAATTGTCTATGGTATAATTAGAAAGTTGTATTAATAATTAAATCATAGTTTTTTGAAGAACATATTTTAAGAATAATCTCTTTTTCCTAATAAAGGAAATAAAGAAATGAAAGCGTACTTATAACTTAGTTATACCTACAGATTATAATCCTTAATGAAGTACTGAAGGAACATTAAAGGACGCATATCTCAGCTGTGCAATATTATGTATGAAATACTAATTTGTAAATTATAAGATAAAATTAATCGTATGAANTTTTTTGAAGAACATATTTTAAGAATAATCTCTTTTTCCTAATAAAGGAAATAAAGAAATGAAAGCGTACTTATAACTTAGTTATACCTACAGATTATAATCCTTAATGAAGTACTGAAGGAACATTAAAGGACGCATATCTCAGCTGTGCAATATTATGTATGAAATACTAATTTGTAAATTATAAGATAAAATTAATCGTATGAA